TGGTGGAATGACTGAACGCTTTTTAATGGAGTCGCCGCCAGCAGCTAACACTCCACTCTCGCCACGTTTGCTTTATCACCTTCTCGTCTTCTTTCGTGTAGGATTTGTTCTCATTTCTATCACATTTTTCTCACAGGAGCATTTTACCCCGGAGTGTAAATTCAAGGAGTCGGTGTTCGAGAACTACTATGTCACCTACTCCTCCATGCTCTACCGGCAGCAGGCATCGGGCCGGGCTTGGTACCTGGGGCTTAACAAGGAGGGTGGAATCATGAAGGGGAATCATGTCAAGAAGAACAAGCCTGCTGCACACTTCATACCGAAGCCACTCAAAGGTAGGACTGATAGCCTTACTGATTTAAATACCAACTTAATAACTCAGAACACGTAAAAGTTTAAATGTAAAATGAAGCGTTTATTTTGAAATTCCTGTCGCATGTTTAAAAAAACCCAAGAAAACATCAAAGACTGTTTGCTTGTTGTTGCTTCACTTGGATTTTCGTCATCATTTTGCATCATTAAAAGGATGTCTTTGCATTCACCTTCGCATTTCTCTCAGCTCGAAAGTCAGACCCTACACATCTTTTTATAGTCAAAACTTTAAATAAGAAGCTCAGCATGTGCACAAGTACGAGTTCAAGGCTTACTGTAGGTTTCAAACTGAGAAGAGAAAAGCTGTGTTTAAGAGACGCAGCCAATCAGAAGAAAGCTGGCTTAAAGGGAGGGTGGTCTTCCTGGGTGAGGGGTGGTTTGTTTCAGATAGTGGATGCAGAAAGGCCTATCATAAGATAAACAAGAATGTCTTTGAACTGTAAATCATGCAGAGGTACTCAAGTAGAGTCCAAGAATGAAAAACATGAGTCTGGAAATCAGCAGAGTAGGCCTGCTTTCCAATGAAACTTGCAGTATTTACATATTCATATATTCTGAGTTTGTCAGTGAGGGAGGAAAGAAGTTAAATTAAGATGTGTGTTGAAAAAGAAAATCGTTTTAAGAAAAAAAATAGAGTAGCAATTTTTTTTACGTTTAAAACATGTCCAGAGGGGCTGTTTAAATATTAATGACTAAATATGCAGCGATCGGTGTTAACACTGGGAAAAGGCTATAGATGAGCTTATAACCCCCGTGTGTTCATGTAGAACAAAATAGACAGCTAATTGTGAAAATGGTTTTGAGCACCTCGGGGTGAGTTTGGCAGCTTAGTGAAAACAAAAGCAGAATCTCAGCGAACCTATAGCACTCGCTATTAAAGTGAGTCATGCTCATAAATGATGAAGTATAAAACTGTGCAGGTACCATTTACACCAGCAAAGCAAACACGGTGTGTCCGTTACCCCTGACCCTCGCAATTTCAGGGCTCTAGAAACTATGGCTGTGATGTATTACGTCACAAGTATATGTTAGGTTAAACAAATGAAGTTGTGATAGCATCTAAGAGAGCAAACTGTACTAAGGCTTCATTGATTAAGAGCTTGGGGCCGCTCTTGGAAAGCTTTCTCCCCTATAGAAGATTTAGGATTCCAAAAATTCAGAGGACCCCTGACCTATGGAAAATATCTGCCTTCCTGGACTAACTTAGAACCCATCTGCTATTTGCACTCTTTGCTTGAAGGTCTTATCGTTTTTAAAACTGATTTTGTGTCTTGTTAGTTTATAAAAGATTTAACTGGATTCTATACAAGGAAGGTCATTGTAGATGGTAATATATAGAAGCTTTACAGATTTACAGGCTAGAGTGAAAGCACACTGAAAACAATGCCAGCGCCAGAAGATAAACATTGAAATGTAAATGCAGATTGGGTACTCATGAATAAAAACAATAATTGAGTCTTAAATGGCATAAAAGGAAAGTTAATGCCCAAATACTCTCGAGGAGGGGGAAAACATCAATAATTACATTCCTGGCCACCAGATATGATAGTGTTAGGCGACCCAATTCTCGGGTTTGATTTACCAGTGCCGGTCATCCAGAAAAACAAGAAAATACCAGGAAAATAGGAAAAGAGGAAATAATCAATATTTCTGCATAGCAGGGTGATAATGGATCCACAGAGATTGGTTATCTGACTCTGCTGCAGCATTTCTGACCATTTAGTATCACCACTTCTGGATGCATTAGATAGCTGTTTCCATTGAAAGAGCAGTAAAATGCACTGTACACCATCTGACCGGCAGCGAACAGCAGATACAAGAAGAGACACATATTTCCCCGGAGACTTAGCGGAGGGCAAAACAAAGCTGAAAAGGGAATGAATATTGGAGTTACATTCATCAAACGGACATGAACACGACTCCATATAACGCTGCTAATGCAGCTAATGGATGTGTTCAGTGTGTGGCAACTGTTTGGTAACAGGCTTCCAGCCTAAAGGCTAATATGTCAGTGACCAGAAGCCATCAGGCATTATATGAAAGTGAGGAAAAAGGAAAAAAAACCTGAACTCTTAGTTAACTTTTTATTCTTTTTGCCAGTTATTGAAATTAAGATTAGAATTTACCCATTTATGGAGTGTTACAGTCTTTAAATTTCTCTCTGATGATAAAATAGCGTCTTAAAATCAGAATTAATTAGTCTGTGGAAACTGAATCTCCCAGGTGCAGAGGAACTGACTGAACAAAGCTGTGCAGACTACACCCATGTGACAAAGACCAGTGGCAATAACTGAATTAATGATTCTTGTCTTGTCTTGTCTTGTGTGTCTGTCTGCATGTGTGTGTGTGTGGGGGGGTGTAGTGGCCATGTACAGGGAGCCCTCCCTCCATGACTTGACAGAACTCTCCCGTTCAGGCAGCGGCACACCGACCAAGAGCCGCAGCGCTTCGGCCCTACTTAATGGCGGCGGGAAGACACCCAGCAACAACGACTTATCCTAGCCCCCCGACCCCTCACACCGTACCACACATACACATGCACATACACATGCACACTCAGACACACTCCCATGCAGACGCACACATACACGCACAGATCTCAGGCCGACATGCCCACACATCAGACTGGTGAGGGGTGGGAGAAAAAGAAGGAGGACGGGGACGTGTTCTTCCACTAAACGGAGCCCACTGTGACTGACTGTGATGTAAATAAATCAAGGACAATCAATCCGTCTGGCTCTGCTGCCCCTGGTGTGCAGAGGGACGGGACCTGCGACTCTCTTCCCTCGGACGGGTCCTCCTGCTGTATCGTGAACAGTTGGATCAAGCGAGGGAGCGATAGAGAAGAGGGGACAGAGGAAGTCAGACAGTCAGTCACGCAGTCAGATAAACAGACTGTTACAGAGAACCAAAGAGTACAAGTATTAACCCACTAGGTTATTACTACGAAATGGCACGCGGCTGGAAAGTTACAGGGAGTTACAATGGAAGGAAGTCTTTATCTAATCTACCGTACGCTATGTTTACACAGAGCTCATGGGTTTAAGTCATATTTTTAAAACTGACAAACATATTCCTTGTACACTTATAAGGACTTATCATTTGTTTGCATGCAGGTGTGCCTGTGCATGTGTGAGAGAGAGCGAGAGAGAGAGAGATTGAGTACATGCTGTGCTTGCGATAGGCGTGCTGTGTGTGTGTGTTTGTGTGGGAGAGAAAGTGTGTGTGTGTGTGTGTGTGCACGCATGTGTCTTGAGGGTGGGGGTTGGGATTTTACCTTTTTAAGATCTGTTGTATATTGGACAAACCCCCCGAGGGCTTGAGCAGGTTACTGTAAGGTTTACTGTATATGCTTCCATGCTTACTTCTTACAAGCAATGCTGTCGTTTCTCTTTCCGTTCGTCGTTGTTGTCCCTTGCCGTTTGTTTGTTTGTTGTTGCATGGAAGCTTGTGGACCTCTGCTCAGTAGCAGCATGCTGAAGGTCCTTTTTCTTTTCCCCCCTCTCTCCTGGTCTTACGTGTTCCTGACCATAAGAGAACACTAGTGAGCCAATAGTGTGATACCAGAACACTAGTGAACTAATGTGAGGGTGTTAGAACACTACTGGACCAATAGTATTGCACCAGAACACGGGCGGACCAATGGTGTTGGACCAGAACTTTGGTGAACAGCACAGATTAACTTAATATTTTGGTTCCTGCTGTGGACAAACTAGAAATGCACTAAATAAACTCTTTCTAAGGAAGTGAACTGTCTCCCTTGTGTATTTATTCAAGCATTTTGCACCTGGCTGATGTCATGTCTGTTTCAAATGTTTGAAGTTTGGCTTATAATATTTGAATTTTATCAACAGTCAAGGCAGCGCTCACATTTCTTTTTCTTATTACATAAGACATATTTTTATTCTATTGCTCCAGCGGGCTGCTGATAGTTTTGGTTTCATGCCCAGCGTCGACGGTTTTACCACCACCAAAGGCGGAAGATGAATTAGTCCCTATGAAAACGTGTTGATAGTGGCTTGTGTGGATTACCGAGTGTAACAGTGCTGATTTGCTAGCACTCCATAACGGGGGTCTGTGAATACAACCTCGCGGATTAATGTAAGACTTCAGGCATGAAAAATAATAATTAATGTAAAACCTCACCAACTAATCATGGTAAAAGCTCATTAAATAATTATGCAAACCCTCATGAATTATCAGGAGTACATAAATAAAACAGCTCTTGCATGAAGCGGGGCGTTAATTAATGCCACATGTATGTCATTCATCGTGAATTAGGATATATTAAATTAATCATGTTCATAGTCGTCTGCAGTTTACAGGGTGGGCTCTAAAACCAAATTTGCACATGTTTATTATGTTTAATTCCAGATGTTGCAGTCATGATGAGTTAAGCATGGCTCTTCATGTTTTTGCTTGTTATTATAAAGTGGTGACCTGCTCCTTCATTAACACTGTTAAATGCTAAATGATGAATAATGGTGTAAAATCGAGTGTACTCATTTATAGAAAGGAGTGGCAATGCTAAATGCTTACAGAAGAAGCACAGCATATTTAATTTTGACATATGAATGAAGGGAAATGACTCTTAATAAAGTAAAATATTTATTTTACATTGTCTTAACTTTGTAGTAATTTACAATGGATAATACGGTCATGGTAAAAAAAGAAGTGCAGCCACTTTTCAATTCTAATGTTTTGCATATCAAATAATAAAAATCATCTGGTCCTTGGCAGGTCTTATAAATATACAAAAGAGTGTGTCATTATTTATTTAACGAAGATTAAGCCAAAACAAAAGCAATGTGTGAAAGCTACCACCTTTACTGGTTCCACAGGGATTAAGATGGTAAGAAGTAGATGCTGCTAATCAAAAACACTTGATTGATACTGATAACCAACCAAGTGTGAGAACATCTATAAAAGCAAGTTTTGGCAGTTTGCTGGTCTGGAGCATTCACACGACGCCAATGAGGAACGACATCAGCACTGATTGTAGAAAAGCAATTGTTGCCGCCAATCAGTTTGGCAGATTTTCCAATTTGCCCTTCCAAAGTGTAAACAATTGAGACAGTGGCCGATGTTCCCAGAAGTGGACTACCCAGCAAATAAATACAATTAGAAAAAGGCTGAATAAGTTTATTCTTTTTCTGGAAGGCGTGCTTTAGGAGAAAGCCTCTTCTCTTTAAAATCAACATAGTAGCACGTCTTAGGTTTGCAAAGCTGTTTCTGAACAAACCACAAGACGTCTGGAACGATGTTCTTTGGGCATATGGACAAAAACCAACCACGGAATATCAGCACAAACTCCTCGTACTGACTGCCAAGCACAGTGACCTCAACCCGACTGCTACCCTCAAACAACTGAAACAACGCTGTAAAGAAAAGCGGGCAAAAATTCTCCCACAAAGATGTGAGAGACTGATGAAGTCATACAAATGATTATTTCAAGGTACTTCAAATTATAGCTGATAAAAGTGGTTCTACTAGCTTAAGAATCATGGGCGTGCTTAAATAAATAATGTATTATGCATTGCTTTTCTTCATCTGAGGTTGTATTAACTTAATCTTAAGAACTGGTGAAGACCAGATCAATATATTTAGTTATGCCCTGATCAAATGATGTAAAACAAAGAATCGGCAGAGGGTGCACTCTCTTTTTACCGTGACTGTATGTTTGATACAGATATTAAAAACACGCAAACCACTTTATCTGAAGGCTCAAAGAAGCCATGCTTGTTATTCAGACATTTGGAGTTTAACAGAGCACGTGAATGATGATGATCGAAAACCGCATGGTGCTGCACTGAACATATGCATAAAACACTTAAGTTAATCACTGTAGGATCCAAACAGGATTCTGGATAAAGTGAATTTGTGTTTTTCATGCATGAAAACGTTTTTTATGAGTTGTACCATGAACAGAAATGACATTTATTGCCTTATAGCAGACGAAGAGAAAGAATTATAACGCTGTTTTATTCACACTCACCTAACGTTCAACTCCAACCCATAAGCCTTTAAACACTTTCTCACTGTCTCACAATCAGTGAGGTCAGCTACAGTATTGGGTTCCGTAAACTGTCCATGGAGACCTCAACAACATGCAAGCTGGAGGAGCTGGGCATTGAACCACTGCCCTCTCACATAGTAGCTTTGACTGTAGTTATCTTCACATTAAGGAGCTCCTTAAGCTCTTATAGGAGAGAAAAAACCTTAAGTATTGACTTATTTTAATGTTGAACTTAGCATAATTAACTTCAACTTGCCTTTGGAAGCAAAACAAGAACATTAAAACAAAAGTGGTATTTTATTTGACCACTAGGTGGTGCTTCTATTTCAGAGCTCTGTTGCTATTATTGGTAACTCATCTTGGGGGTGGATGAGAGGCAGCAATAAAAGAAACTCTGGTAAAGAATCTTAAAAGTCTAAAGAAATGAGGGAAAATAGACACGGGGGACATAAAATAAACAGTCCCAAACACATATATTCTTTATAAAATTATTTACTCCAACATTTGCGTGTGTTCGTTTCTCAGTGAAGGGCAGGTAAAGCAGACACAGGCATTTATCTTCAAATGATTCAGCTGAGAGGGGCCGAGGACACATTTATGCAATCACAAAATACAACAAGATAAAGTGCAAAAGTCAAATGTGAAAAATAAGAGTCATATAAAGGTTAAAACCAATTGTTTCACATTGCAACAACAAACATTTATTCATTGGTTTTAGGAACAGTGTCTACTCGATATTTTTTATTAAACGTATAAATACACAATTAAGATATGAGATTCTGTACTTCTCTTACTAATAATGATAATTTAAGATTATAACTAAAAAATTTTCTTTAACCGGGTTTTTCATTTTTCATTTCCAAGTATCAAGTATAAAAATAATACAAACCAGTGGGTGTAGCTAAACGTCTTGCCTGTAACGCTGAACTCACAGTGTTGAAGAACTACACTCTCCCTTTGCTACACTTTCCTTTTTTTTTTTTTTAACTTTCTGCAGCCCTGTGCAAATGTAAACACGCATGCAAACTCACACCAACACGTACACATCACGTTCATAGTGATCCACATTAACACGGTACTGATGTATCAGCTGAGCATGTCGTATTTACAGTAGCTGGTGCAGCATCACGCTGCCTGTACTTTTCCTTTAGATGAAATGAGAGCGCAATGCCTCCGAGTCCATCCTTTCTCTCTTCAGTGCCAGTTTTCTTGCTCTTCTTGCGTTTTCCTTTCAAACGTCCTCGTCTCCATCTGTCGATCTGTTTATGATCACTCTATGTCCCCTTCTTTGACTCCCACTCCTGGAAACAGTAAAACGGGAGCATGTGAGTCAAGCAGTTTTTGGTCCTCGCACACACAAACACACGCGCACTCTACCTTTGCCTTCTGCATCACATTCCCCTTGGAGGAGGCGTAAAGAGACGGAGGCCGCTTTCGAAGCTCAGATGCCGCGTTGACAGGCACAGTCTCCATGTAAACCTTTTCAACCTTACTGCCCTGCGCCTACGCACGAACACACAGGCAACCCCCCCAAAAAACAGTAAAAGTTTGATTTCACTTATTTGAGCCCAGTGATGTTACTTTAAAAACAACACAAGAAGACCAAAAGTTCTTCCAGTCAAAAGCAGATGGATTACTAAAACAAGCATACAAGAACACAGAAAGAATGAAGAGAGAAACACCAAAACAAGAAAACACAGAAACTCATTATAAATGTCTAAAATGAGAAACATATGTTAGCAAACAAACATATAAAGCCTGATAAAATAAAAGTCAAATAAATAAGGGCCATATGGTCAAATAAATGACTTGTCTGGTAACAGACACTGCACACTGATTTAAAGGATTTGTCTTAATACAGTCCCAGCTGTTCATATGAGAAATCCCTCAGCTCATGTTCTGGACAAAAATCAACCGTAAATCTTCACTGAAGCTCATATGAACTTTTAGCAGCCGTTGATATTGATGTATTTTTAGTATCATCTTTTTACCTCCATCCTAAACAAAAAACCTCACGACTGCATTTAAATGTATGTATGTAAAGAACTCTTATAAGAGCGTTTGTATATATTTTAAAGTACATTCATTAAGAGTTTTCTAAGGAGAGCTTCAGTTCCAGCTGTAAACAGATGTGTGTGTTTGCTGCCTACCTTGACGTTGATCTTGGTATCAGTAGGTGGACCCAGTGCCCCTCTAGCCAGTGACTTCTTCAGGTTTTCTTTGACCTCTGTCAGTCTCAGCTCCAGCTCCACCCGTTCCTCCTCCTTCTGTTTGCACAGTGTTTCCAGCTCAGCTAACTGCTTTTCCACACTATTACCTGAACACACGCACACCCACACACACACTCATAATTAGGACCGCTATGAAGCCTACGACCGAACAAGCGCTGTGTGTGTGATTCGTCTCTGACCTGTGCCGCTCTTCCCCTCCTCCTTCAACTGCCTTTTCTCCTTGCGCAGGGAAATCAGTGCATTTCTGAGGTCCTCCTTCTGCTTCTCCAACTCCTCTTTCTCTCTCAGGTACCGCCTGGCATCCTCCTCTGCCCGTGTCTTCCCATACCGCCCATACTGATTCACATCTACGATGTGAAAAAGAAGGAAATGAAGACAGATTTGGCCACATTTGAACCCAAATCACTTTCATGGAGACAGTCTAATGAATTATGAAATTAACCGAGACTCACTGGAGGCATGTCTCTTAATGGCAGCTTGTTGTTCAGTTTTCTCAGAGTCCCTGCTGGAGAACGAAGCGTGACGTCTCACCTGGCCTCCTCTGCTCTCCACATCCACTTCCTGCAACAGAATAATTTAATGAATTCTAATTAACAAAATGTAATAGAGGAACTTTAAGGAAAATGAAAATACTATAAATACTATATGTTTATATGACTGATAAATATAAGCTTTTTAAAGATCGGATTAAAAAAGAAAAAAGAAAACATATTTTGTTAATCTATTATCCAAAATCTTATTAGTAGTTTCACTAGGGCTCCAGTGAAGCTCAACACAGAATGGTATTAAAATCCTAAGTTACAAAAAAATGGTGTTTGTATTCTGCAAATTTGCAATAAATTTCAATGAATGAATGTAAGAGAGAGGAGAGGATCAGTGAGGAGAGAAAGAGAGTAGAAGCAGATTTAAACATCTCTGTGTCTGCTGTGTTCAATATAAAGGTTTTTGTATCTCATCACTTGCTTAGAATTAAAGAAAAATAAAGTTTTCTCACCGCAACACTTTCATAGACCTCATCGTAAGTTCTGGAGTCTATTGAAGCACTACTGGAGGAGTTAGCTGTTGTAGCCCACCTGGGAGAAAAAGAAGAGGAAGATATATGAATATAAAAATGAGTATTTCAAAATAAAAGCTGTAATAAAAGACTGTTGGGTAAACATATGCACAAAAACGCATACTGTTGACTCACAAGAAGGAGTGTCTGGCAGCATGCCGTATGTCAGTAAGTGTGTCCACATCGATGTAATCATAGTGCAGCTCTTCAGGGAGAGTGCTGCTGCCGGTCTCTGCAAATAAAACTCCAAGCCAGCGGCCAAGATCCTCAGAGCAGCTGGCCTGAATGACACACAAACACGGACAGACACATGCACATTTGTTAGTCCATGAGCAGAAAAATGTAAGGTGTGGCATGCCTGTGCGCACACTGATGATACCTCTCAGCTATATCAACAGTGATGTAACCAAGTGGCACAAATAAAATCAGTCTGTATACACATTAAATCTCCTGTGCTGGATAAAATGATTCAAGATCTCCTGCTTCACCTCCAGAGCTGCCAGCTCGTTGCCTCCCTGTAGGATGCGGAAAGAGAACGGATGTTTAGGTCCAAGCCCGCCTGGCATCACCTCTGCCCCCTTGAGTGGCACCACAATGATTGGGGGTCGCTGGTCCCCAGGGTCCTTCTGCAGGTACAAACTTCCACCCCGGAGCACGCACCACCGCTCCCTCCAAGAGCCGCTCAGACACACGCTCAGATATCCTGATGAGTGTGTTAAAAAGAACGTATTTACATTTTATTCATTGTCATATAATGTACCCAACACTGTTTGATGTGACGTTCGGTTTCTGGATCTAAATTAGATGTTATTATCATGAAATTAAAATGATATGATGTTTTTATAAGTTGTTATATTTGCATGAATGCTAAAAATGAGTCATTTTAGCTTGTTGTTAGGTGTTGGCTAGGCAAACTGATGATGTCATAACAACAGATATGGAATAAAAACTTCAGGGACTTAATATCTACTTGTGCCCATTACAGCAGATTATAATTGTTTAGCTCCTGATCATGGAGGAGGAATTCGTGGACAAATATTTGGTGTATTATAGGAAGAATATGTACAATAACTTTTACATCTCTACAGTTATAAGTTTTTTTCCTAAAAGGCATTTTTATTGTTCTGAATTGTGCATCATCAGCATTAATTTGTCCTTTAACACTCTTTGACACTGATGTCAAATTACAAATGCTAATGGAAAACAATCTAAACATCAATCAGCCACTTAGATGATTCTCTAACTAACCAGCCATTCAACAAAGTATTCATCAGGTCTTCTCACCAGAGCGGGGGTTGTCATGCTGGCCAGAAGACAAAGGAGACTCTCCTGGTAAAGGAGGTTTCCGCTTGGAAAAGGTGATGATCCGATTGATTTTCCTCCCAGCTGCTCGGCTCATCGACCCGGTCAGCTCTGAAAATGCTCCACGCTTCCCCCTGTCTGAAGTCAAACACATCCTGAAGTTGAACTTTATAACATCCAGCCAGTAAAACAGACAATGTTGCCTCATCATTTAAATATCATGCTGTTATTATTTTTTTAAGTTTTACATTTTATCAGTTACAATGTAACAAAAACATGATGAAAACTGGAATAAAGTAAAAGGTCTGAATTCTGGAAAAAATACATTTTTGAAAAAGACCCTGCACCCAAACAGGACTCATGAAGCTTTTGAAGAAATAATATCTTGTTATTTCAGAGATGGCTTGTATTTATTCAACCAGACCCCGACAGCCGGTTTGCAAGTTCACTCTGAATGTACCAGGTGCTGCAGTGCACTGTTCACACTACTTCCTGATGATGTCAGTGGGAGACAATTGCAGGAAGAGGACAGGAAGGATGTCATATCTGCTCGAGCCTCACTTCCTGTCTCTCCCTCTCTCTCATGTCTCTTTAGGATCAGAGTTCCTTTGTCCGTAAACAGATTTGAAACAACTGTTTCCCAATTTCACTGTGTTTGACCTATTTTCTAACCCAGCACCAAGGATCTCCCTGGTTTATCCTTCCTGATTTTGTAGATAGAAAAACAAAAATATTGTGTGTGTGTGTGTGTGTTTGCTTTTGTAGCCTTGTGGGGACCTGAGTTCCAGACCCTGAAAGTGGGGACTCTTAGACACTGAGGAACCATTTGAAGAACCCTTATTTAAATATTTATGGTTTAAAAAGATGCTAGACTACGTAAAACACTATTCACACAAAACCCATCAACAACCACTAAACTTTGTAACAGACATACAGTTATCATTTACTACAGAGAAGTTGCATCACAGTCATTTACATTTCTCTTAAACTGTAACTATGTTGGTTTCTCTATGTTAAAGATGTAGAATAATGGAGGGAAAAAATCGTCTCCCTGCCAGTTATTAGTTTACCTTTTTTAAAATTTGCTACAAAGTATCAATGAATGAGTCAGAATAGTATTACTCATACAGTGTTCCTCTCTTTTCATAAAAATGGCAACATAAATTAAGCTAGAAGAGCAATGCAGTATATGATGTGTGTTACAAATATACTGAAATGAATCCTTTACCTCCTAATCTTATAACACGTGAGAGGAAGGTGTTATGCCTCTCCCCACAGATCAACAGTGTGCTGCATCTGCGAAACTGTGCCTAAATACCCTTTAACAACCATCTATCTAAATGTTTGTTTTCACTGTGAAATATGCCAACGAGACCAGAAAGATGCTTTGCTGTGATTTTAAAGAGCATGTAAAGTGTAAATCATGTTGAACTGTCCCAATATATCTGTGGTAACACTGAGAAATTACCCACAGACACTAATCTAACGTTAAATCTCACTATAACCACCGATTTAACCTGCAATAACATGTCTTGTGCTATAATTACTGAGAGTGTACACACAAGAAGCTTATTTCAATGAAGCAACCACAATAAAAAAGAGTCGGTTGCAACAAAAACATCTCAAAAACTGCTGGTGAAGGTTCACGTACTGAGTGAGTCAGTAGTGTCTCGTCCTGACCCGTGTGCAGTGGCCTGACTGTCTGCTGTTGGCCCGCTGTCTGAGTCTGAAGCCTGTCTCTCAGACTGTAGCACCTGGCAACAAAAGGAACAAAACACTTTTACTTCTCTCTTTTATAACATTTGAAGAGAGGAGACAAGGAATAGCAAAAATTGGCACATTTGTCTTTCCGTTTTCATGTTAAAAATAAAAATAAATAAAAATTAATGTATCCTCTGGGAGTATGACTATTTCTTTCTGCCAACGTGGGGTGTAACTGCCATGTCAGCATGCATTCAGTTTGTTCAGGACTTGAAGCTCTTTGAAACCAAGGCAACTCAGCAACCGCAATAATCACCTCACTCACTGCTTGTAAACTAGAAGCCAAAGGAATAGTTGTGTCATGCGTGGGCTGAAAGAGGGTGATGTCAGCGACACTGAAATGTTAAAACTGGGGTATATATACAGTATGCCACAAATTACATTTGTCATAGTAAGACACAGTAAGAGCACAGCGTTAGACCGGCATTGGGGCTCCTCATTAAGTCTGTTTTGTGGGAAATTTTGGTCTTTGTGGCAAGACCACAAAGAGAACACTGCGGACAAACAGTCTGACATTCAAGGACATACGCAGATAAGCACACTCACCTTGTCGAGCTCCAGCTTCCTCTGTATAATTGGAGAAGTTGATCCATCCAGCCCCTCAGTGTTGCTACACTGGCTGCCAACATCGTGGACCACCTGAACAGAGAAAAAGAAAACATTCATTTACAGGCACAGCCTTGTGTCTGCTCGTCTGTCTCAGCACCGTGCCTCTAATGAGGTGAAAAAAGGTACCTTGAGCCATCGCTGGGCCTGTTCTTTACTCTGGACTGCCAAGACTAGCGCTTCGCCCCCAGGTAATGAGAAGCGCAACTCGTGACGCTTTTTCCGGCCTTCCTTAGGGACATAGATGACGTTGCAAAGATTCAGTGGGAGCTCTGTGTTGGGAGAGCTCTCTTTGATGCTTTTAAAACACTGTGAAGGAAGAAGTCAAGAACATGCATTATTTGAGTAAAAGATAATCTATGTAAGCCTAGCCTCTTACTGTTATAAGCTGGAAAATAACTGTGTAAACTGTGGCTTACAAATAAGTGTGTTCAACTGTCTGATTCACCATAAATAAATAAGGATTTACCTTGAATAACACCAGAAAAAGACAATTCTTTGATTTGAATGATAAAATAAACATTAATAAACAGCAGCATCTATTTACCTGCAGTTTATTGTCTCGGACAACAACAAGCTGCTTAGCCCACTGGCCAAAGCGTTTCTTTCGCAGTAGGAAGGCACAGATGTGGCAGTCTCGAACCGGTCCATCTGTTCTTTCCTCGGCTGTCCATCTCTGAGGTTGGTCTCGGCCCTTTGCTTCCTCTTCCTCTTCTTCGTAAGACTCGTAGGAACTACTCAGAGCATCTGAGTCATTGTCTGAGTAACAAAGCAATTATTGTTTTACAGAAGATCCACAAAACAAATTGTGATTCACAAAATCCTAGCTCTACTACTAGACATAAACTAGCATGAATAAGGGTCAGATTAAGACTCACAGGAGCTTTTGGGAGGCCCATTCATTCTGGTGGTGGGGTAGTTATTGTCAGCATCTTCATAATAGGCGTCCTCCACAGAGTTCCTGGATGCTACAGGTGAATAGATAGAGTATGTGAGAAAGCAGAACCAAAGGTACTGATCTGATTACCATTATACATGAATGCGCACACACATGTGCGTTTGTATATGCATGTGTTCATACTGGTGGTAAAGTACTGAGGAGTAGATCCGGGATCTAGAGGAACAGCTTCTTCATAGTAGTCATCAGGAAGGGGTGTAGTTGGCAGAGGAGGAGGAGGTGTGTCAGTTGGGGTCTGAAAACCAAAGGTAGCTGCTGAACCAGAACTGGGGGTAAAAGGAAGGCTGGTGTAGGTAAGTAGTTTCTGTGAATGACTTACAGATTTATTGGGATGAGTCTTCTCCTCTTCATCCTTGTGCTCTTTCTGCTCCACTGGAGATGCACTGAGCATGTGCAAATCACAGCCTGATAGGATTAATCATGATTAATTTTATAATTTTATATAAACAGAGGTATAATGATTGTAAATACATACAGAAAGGATTTTTTTGTAACTGAACTGAACCGAAGGTATTTTGAAGGACTACTAACCAAAATCCTCAAACAGAGACTCTACAAAGCTCGTGCCATTGCCATAGAGACAGCTGTTCATGTAGACATCAGAGCCGTTCACTGTGGAAAAGACAAATTATGGATTAAAACCAGGATCAGAGTTAGGGTTACATAGCCTATAGCTTTTAGGTCAGGATTAAGAAGGGCTATAGAGACTGAATAATGAAGTATAAATAGTATTTCATCTGCAATAAAAATGAGATCTATGGTGACCTATGTACAGGGAGTACAGAACTGAGATTGAAAATCTTTGTACAGCAAGAACAAAGAAAATGTGTGTGAAAGGTCACAGAAAGGTTTGACAGAAAAAAACAGATACAATGATGCGAAATACACAGCAACTATTTAAAAAAGATGAGTATGGACACGACAGACTGGGTCCAGTCTAATATTTGTGTTCTGAGACCATCGGGATGTTTTGCTGTTCTCATTATCCTCTTTGCATTTCATTATCCTCTTACACGGATCCTTTTATCCTCCCCGACATCCTGTATGCTTCCAGATAAAAAGGGATTTGTCTGTAAAGACCTCAGCAAGATTTCATGTCACAGAGGCTGTATTTTGTAGCACAACAACTGCTGCACTCTCTCAAGTTGAGCAGTTTCAGTGTGGTTGGCTAAACACAGTAGGGTCACACCATTGCAAACAGACAAAAAAGAAAGAGATGCTGTAGTACTGTTGATGTGACACTTCTGACTTTTTTTTTTTTGGCTAAACTGCTGCCATCACACTCAGCTGAATTCATCCTGAATAAATAAAAAAAACACTTCTACATTGAATATTCTTATTTCTACATTGTATTGAAATAAAGTGCTGCTTTTACTATTTTTGTAATGCCAGGACATCAAATGCTGCTGTTCTATCTGACCTGCTGGTGTGCAGAAGGTGTTTCTTGGCACTAGTGAGACAAGTCTGGCAATCAAACTGTTTATAATGCATGACTTTTTTCTAATGAAACACCATTTTAAATACTGCCCTGATGTTTCTGCAAGTCATATTTCATCCTAAAATCGTTTTACCAAAACCTAACCAAAATGCAGATGTCCAAAAGACAGAAACTTCAGTCTCTAGGTGTCCAATCTTACAGTAGAACTATGCATGCTATAAGAAGCCAGTAGCACCTGACAGAAGAGCAGGAAATAAAATAAATAATAAAAGTAACACAAAAGGGCAATTTTATTATTACTGGGCTCTATCTGAAAGATCAGATCTTTATTATCTTCAAGGGAGAATATATTACACAGTCAGTGGAAATCACAAAACCATCAATCAAACAGCAACATCAAAATCATAGTGAGTGACTTAAAAACAATTGGAAGTTTGGACAAATGAGTTTTTCACTTTATTGATGTAGTCTATCTGCAGCCAGACCTTAAACTGCTTAGACTACGGCTGGCTGGACCAGCCAGGACCGAGTGGACCTTCTTCGAAGTCCTAAATTTATACAATTGGGAAAGGTCATTTAGTGCAGTTGACTAAGTAAAGAACTGTAAGTTATTTCTGTGCTGTGTGAAATGTATTAACCTGTGCTGTACAAGAAACTGTACATGTTAAGAAATATTGACCTGGGTTATTTACATTGCCATCCTAACATTGGAGATTCTGTACCTGACAGCTGCAGTGAGTCCAGGATGTTGCGTATGGATGCCATTTTTTCAGCGGTAGCAGGACTGACCGTCTCGTGGTCCAACATCTTCAGCAGAGAGCCTAACTCATTTACAAGTCGTTCCATCACAACTAGAAACCACAAAAACAGACATCATGTAATACTCTTCTGATTTCAAGAACCACCAGGTTATTCACTTCAACTAAATTTTATTTATATCAATTCATCAAAATATTGTAATGTAAAGATCCCATAATATTAGAGAGAAAACCCCAACAATATGATGATCCCCTATGAGCAAGCACTTGGAGACAGCGGGAAGGGAAAACTTTCTTTTGACAGGAAAAAACCTGCAGCAGAACCAGGCTCAGGGACAGGCAGCCACAAACGGGGTGAGGGGAAAAAGAAAAAAGGAGGGCACAGAGAAACAAGGACAAAACACACACCATGGGAGGGATAACACAAAGTGCAATGCCTTACAAAGCCATATAATGAATGGGGAGTGAGAAGAGATAAGTGGAGAAGAACTGCTCAGTGCATCATGGGAAGTCAGGGAGGGATCGTTCTAACTGTATGCTTTATCAAAACGGAAAGTTTTAAGTCTAATCCTAAAAGTAGAGAGGGTGTCTGTCTACTAAATACAAACTGGGAGCTGGGTCCACAGAAGAGCAGCCTAACAGCTGAAAGCTCTGCCTCCCATTCTACTTTTAGAAACTTTTAATAACCACAAATAAGCCTGCAGTCTCAGAGCGAAGTGTTCTGTTTATGATCATATGGTACTGTGAGGTCTTTAAGATATGACGGCCCTGATTATTCAAGACCTTGTGTGTGAGGCGAAGTTTAAATTCAACAGGGAGCCAATGAAGAGAAGCTAATCTGGGAGAAATATGATCTCACTGTTAGTACTCTCACTGCAGTGTTTTGAAACACTGAAAACTTTTTAGGGAGTTTTTAAAACAGCCTGATAATAATGAATTACAAGAGTCCAGCCACAAAGTAAAAAAGTATGAACTGTTTTTTTTAGCATCACTCTAAGAAAGGGTGTTTCCCATTGAATTTAGCACATGAAAGAAAGCATTCTTACATATTTGTCTAATGTGTGCGCTAAAGGATATGTGCTGGACAAAAATGACTCAAGGATGCCTCACAGTGTTACTGAAGGCCACAGTAATGCAATAGATAGAAAGTATCTGGTTAGACAGCATGTTTCTACGATTTTAAGGATAGCAGTACAATAACCAGATTTGTCTGAATTCAGAAGCAGAAAACTGGAGGACATTTAGGCCTTTATGTCTTTAGCTGCTGTAGTCAGATTTTATAGATAAATATAACTGCGTACAATCTGCATGGTAATAATGCTTTATGCAGTTTTTAAGGCTATAATATTGTCTAAGGGAAGAATGTTTAAGGTAAAAGCAATAAAGTAAAATCCTGAGTGCTCAGCATGGCCATCAGATCATCACAAGGCCAAACTGTCAGTTCACAAGTGGCATAAAGTCAGTTTGGAACTCAGCTGTCAGCTGCTGCAACAGCTGACAGGGAAAAGATTTTTAACATCCTCTAATGTCACCCTGGTGATTTTGTCCCGCTCGGAGCAAGCCTTTTTGGGAACACAGCGAGTTTTCTGTGTGTCACTACTAAGCGTTAAATCCGACTTTCCACGTTGATATTTTGTGCTTTCTTTGAAAAACTTACTCTTTTCACTCCTACATCCTGTGTGGGTCAAGCGTGTGTGTCCGTGTGTGTGTTTTGTTGACCTTGACATTGTTCCAAATGCCCTGACACACTCTCACACATCCTGCCTGCTCACAGCCAACAAAGAGGAGGAGGAGGAGCAGGAGGGGGAGCCGGGGAAAAAAGAAGGTGAGGAGGAGGAAGCTTCCTTCCCTAAAGGAAATGGAGCCAAAGTGAAGAGGAAAATGTATAGCTTCACCACAGAGGACAGGAGATGGTTACCAAACTGCTTGAAGCCCCAAGTTAGTTCATTTACTTGTTTACTTCTAAATATAAGAAGATTGAAAGGCGTATCTTAGGATTAGTCTGAACCCGGAGCAAGCAGCTTTTCTTCCGATATTGACTTTTAATTAAACACTGAAGACATTAGAACTGCTTCTCTGATATTATCCACTGTTATTTGATGAAGTATTATTCATACACTTGAACAGGTCAAGTGCAACCAAGTCTAAAATAGTTTCATGTCCCTTTGGTTTCCAGTGGGAGGTTTTAATAGCCTGTGCTTTTTATGTGGCTTTATCCACACTGGAAAGATTATAGTTTGTGGAAACATTTAAATTTTGTATTTTTTGGCATTAAAATTGTCAAATTTACAGTTCAGTTTCATTCATAATACAAAGCAGAAAGTTCATAGCTGGAAAGCTGGAAAAGCAACAGGATTTTTCAGCAATGATTTGAAAGAGCAGACTCTTTCGCCTCGTGTCCCTTTTTACAATCTGATCCACTTAATTTTATGGCTTTGTTAAGAAGAACATGCTTCACAATGATTAGTCAGATCAATAAGCTTTAGTATGTTTACAATTTATTATGGCATAAGTACACCTAAAAAAAACATAAATAAATGAATTGCCCATTCCCAGAAAAGAAATGGAACAAGGGTTAAATAAAAATAAGATCAAAACAGTCTGTTTTCCTCACACACAACGTGAAGACAGAGAGAGTGAGCGAAAAAGCCCTGACTCTCCCACAAGCCTCTTCCGCCTCCCCCTCTCACTCGGACAATACTCTATTGTCTCCGCAAGGGCCAAAATTAGATGGCCACAATGCTCGGCAAGACCAGAGCAAACAATCGTATTGTCGGAGTCAGAGACTCCCGGAGAAAACAAAACAGGAACTAACACACAGTGTAAGAGGGGCGTGGTGCAACGCAGCTGCACGGTCTCAATCCACGGGCATGCAGGGTTGTATCTCCAGCAGCTGTGTGTGTGCGTGCGTGTGTGTATGAGTGAGTGTACGTGCGAGTGCAGCTGTGGTTTCCTGTCTTTGCTGTCGACAGGAGCTTCTCTCCCCTCCTTCCTGATCTTGACTCTCCATTGCATTATGAACCTCACCTCCTTCACTTCTTCCCACTTTCCCATTTTGTGTCCTGCTGTTTCTGTTTCTGCCCCAACATCTTCTCTCGCTGCATGCTCTCCTTCCATCTCTTGCCCATACTCTACATTTCTCCCAAACCAACTGAATAGAAAGATTCCTATCTGATGGGTGCTCAATTTGCAGATGCATTGTGCTCTACTTGAGGAAACGTCAATTAAAAAACAATCAACAAAGATCTCGAGTAATCAGACTAGTGCTCTGATCTATTTTCTGCCGGTCTCAAAGACACGCACAGTCAAGGACATCAGTCTGCTCTCTCTCTCCCCCTCATCTCTGAGTCTGTATCTTTATTTCTCTCTCCTTCTATTTTCCTCTCTCTCTCTCAAGGGACCTGAGGGTTCAGAAGCTGAGAATCAGCTGTTCTGCAGGATTGTGGTCTGTCTCACCCACAGAGGGATCTTTGTAATCCCCCACTGCCCCACGCACCCCCACTCCACCCAGAACCACACACATGCAAGCACATACACACACACACACACACACACGGCACAAATTTCCTCTTCAAATCCTTTTTTTCCCCACTGATAGACACAATCATTCACTTAACTAAGAGGAAGCACAAACACTCACTGTTAATTTGTCTCTCGCTTCCTCGTCTGAGTAAACATACAGTCACAAAAGTACAAAGAGGAATGTGTTTGTTTGTGCGTCTTCACGTTCCTTTTTCTGTGTGTTTCCACAGACAGACTTCCTGATGAAGATCAGTCATGAGACTCGGGCCATGCGACTCTCATTTGGACTGATTTAGTGTGTTTGGTTGCAGCTCAGAACAAAACAACTGCTACTTACTGCTGCTGCTGCCGCTTTTCTCGCCGCATAATACCTATAAGCAGCAGGTCAAAACAGGAAAGACACTTTGGCTCTCCTAAACTGAGGCTTTCGTTCCCATCCATTATAATTCGAACACACCAATTAACATAAATCCAAGGCTACCCATCCTCACTTGCCTCTCCCATTCAAAATATCCCTCCATGTTATAATTTTACCAACACTTCATGACTCAGAAGTACTCTATATGAATGCACTGAACTGTACTGCTTTTTGCTTCCATAGATTCTGTTACCTGATTGACATTAATATGTGTAACAAGGGTAATTTAAGACATATACTCTATGCAAAAACCGTATGAAACTGTCCTCTTCCTGCCTCCCCCACACTCCTCAGCACTGAGGTCCCTCCAGATTGCACATTCTCTCTGCCACTCCTTTCTTTCCCTTCCTCTGAGATCCTTTTCCTTCAACTCCTCTCCCTCGCCTGTCTCCCTCTGTCCCTTCCCCAGACACCCATCCTCTTCAGACAGAGGCCAAAGTTCAAGGCTTGGCAGGCCCAGCATCTCCCACTAAGACAAAAGTCTACTTCAGAGACACAGCATCCAGTAATTCATATTTTCGTGACAACAAAAGATGGTGTCAGTGCTTGCCTGGGGTTAGCGTTCAGTCAGACACTTTAAAAAGTCCACAACAAAGATAGCAAGATACTTAAAAAGACACAGCTGGGGGGAAACAGTAGACGAATTCTTTTCGCATTCTTTTAGTATCTTATCATTTTCTGCAGATAGCAAATGGTGTGGAAACACAGGAAACAGAGGGGCACAAACGGCTTTTATAAATACTGAAATTCTTTATTTGCCCAGAGTGGAATGAAAATGGTTTGTAAAGATAACGCAGCAGCCAGAACACCGTTAGTATGAGTTGTGAAGGCATGAAATCTGGAAATTAGCTAGTTTTGTTTCTTTTCTTGAACTAAGTCTGCAATAATCCTATCAAGTGCACACGATTTAAAATGACTGGACCAGTCCACACTTTACTGTTACTACCTGTCATCACTGTCTTTCACAAATGCAAACACTGAGGCGTACGTACACACACAGACACACGCACCCACTCAAAGGTTTTATTTTTTATTGCTCTTACGGGGAGTGACAGGGTGATGATGAGGACAAAATATCAGGATTCTCTGTTTTTCCACTTTGGTGGCGGGGGGAAGCTGCTATCATCACCACATCAGCTTAGCTTCCACCTACACCAGACACACATGGGACACATGTACAGACCTGCTGCTCTGTTGCGTTTCTGTTACAGAAAATGTAATCACAGCTGATTTGAAGCGCAGCTAATTCTGGCTTTGAGCTGCAGTCTCACTTCCATTCGTGAAGGTTATATTTCTGTGTGAAACACAACTTGAAATCCAATCAAGAGGGAGTTGTGCACTTTCTGAAAATGGAGCGAGGGGGTGTGTTGTGCACTGGAATGAATCTTAGAGGAAAAGGGATTGTAAGGCAAACGTGGCAGAGGTCAAGGCTTGTGACATATATTAAACTGAGGAAAATCATATGTGCAAATGCAATAAACCACTTATAGGCAGAATGCACGCAGAAACAGTGTAAAATTCAGTGAGGGGTATGTTTACCTTTTTAAATTAAAATAGGGTTGTGAGAAAACTTTGCAGCTCTTTAATCTCTCCTTTATCCACAGCTCAGAATCTACCAATTTTTCCCAGCCACTGAAGCTCTTGCAATATTTTGCCAAATCTCCAGTATCAAGTATTCACACATTTACTGTGAGAATATTTTCTCCTGCAGTGTACAGCTGCTCCAACCATTTGGCTGTGGATTTGCTGCTTGTGTCTGAGTGCTCCATGTTTTTCCCCTCCAACACATTTTCACATTGGAAAAGCAAAAGTGTAAATAAAATAACTAAAAGGGCAGCGAGCCCAACGTCTGCCAAGGCCAATGCAGCATTTTCCAGTTTTTAAGGAAAGAAAAAGAAAGTGATCCAGGTGCACAACAAAACTGAATCAGTTCTTCAATTTATCCATGCGCAACTTTTCATGAAAGTCAGGTTGATAGTTTTTGTTTCATCCTCCTGACAAACAGACAAATTTACAGACAGAAAGGGGACAATCTAAAGGAGAAATCCAAACCCTGACTTTGTTGGTGTTCCCTGCTTTTACAGGGAAGAGTAACATAGCTTTTATTCTATAAAGAATCACTTCTGATTTGAATGGCCTTTACTAGTTAGCAACATTCGTATCCGTAAGACACAGGTGGCCAATGAATCTCTTAATTAATAATTTATAAAAAGTGATGTGTATAGTATGCTGTAGCCTTCACAATCACCTGGTCTCAAGATGGAAGAACATCTATCTGTGATTTTAGATCAGCTTGTTAGACAGTGTGAGCACCACCATCACTAAAACACCAAATGAGTGAGAATCAGTTGGAAAAGAGACCTCCATTAGAGATCCAGAGATATTTAAGTTTAGTGCCATACTGTGGCATGTAGTGGCCCAACAATGTTATTTCTTTCCTTTTATTTGTCACCTGTCCATAAGACAAAAAAGATTGGCTTATTTACATTTAGCTGCTTCAAAAGACGAATTATCAATAAATTCACACAAATCTTATAATAAAAAGAGATGAACTGCACACTTAATAAAAATACAGTGAACTGGGGAAGTTATGTGTTATAGGATGTTAAGATGAGATGAGATAAGATAAGATAAGAGTCCCAAATTCCAAGATAAGATGCTTAGAATTTAATTCTGCAGCTGCACTGAGCTATGCCATTGACATCCATTTACATTTCCGTTTAATGCAAACTGCCTATTTAACCAGTTACCTCTGTGACAAACGAACCCCCTTTCTTATTATCTTTCAAATTAAGCCCCTTCTTCATCACCTGGTCTCCCGTAAAGAAGCTTCCTGTTTGCTACACAGTGGCCTGAAGGGTTTTGAAACAGAGCAGCCATTCAGCTGCTGCTGCTTCCCACCAGCAGCGCTGCTTCCAACAGGGCACTTTTCTGTTGGTATCAGATTGCATCACTCTACCTGAGGATACCTCCTCCATCCACTCACACAGCGCACCACCCGGCGCGTGGCTGTATGACATCACTCCCCACTCCCCAGGAGTCAACCGGCAGCGAGGCGCGAGTCGCTCTGCTCGCTCACTCAGAGAAACTTGAGACAGATGCTGCTTCTCCATTCACGTGTGTTTAACGAGAACCCAGATGTATTAAAACCACCCATAACATCGCTTTTGTTTGGAAAAGAACTGTATATCGTATCTGATACGGTGGATAATGTTTTTTAATGTAACCAGTTGTTTCTGTTTAGGGTTATGAATGTGGCCTCGCTGTGGAGGAGCTCTTGCATTTACACTGGTGCCCACCCAACCTATGGAGGCTTTATCATAAAGTATTTACAGTTACCGTGCGATACATGGATATTTACTTACCACTCTGTCGTTTGGAGTCCATGTCTTCAGATGTTCTGAAGTCTGTGCCGCCCGATTTGTTTCCAGTAATAATCCCTCAGTTGCTTCGGTTACAAGTTCTGCTCATGTGAGAAGAGTTGTACCCGTACACACAGCGGAGGTCTGTCGGCCTCTGTGCGGCCAAGTGAGTCAGAGTGGCCGCTACACTTTTTGAGTAGGGGCTGCTTGTTCATCATCAAGAGTCCCGTTGGGTCCTAGTGCTGGTGGTGTTCTGTTACAGATCCACAGTGACAATATTCATCATAGCATTACAGCTTGGTAGTAACATGGCAATACCGGGGTAGTAGTTTGGTACGGAAGGCATAATACTCACATGATCATGTAATTCCTACAGTATTAACCAGACAACAGGTTTTTATTAGCAAATATATCTGGTTGGAGGCCGGGATGCATACTGTTGGGGCCAGAAATATGCACTTCCTTACTTTAAGAGATCATAAACCATAATTATTAAAGGTAGAATTATTTTTTAACGTTAAGAAGGTCCTTACTCAAGGATCATGCACATGTTTGAGTCTACAGTGCTCTGGAAAAGGTTTAAGCAATGCCTGATTTTCAGGAGCCAGACTTTCTTGGAATTTTCTTTTTTTTTTTTTTTTTGAAGTGGTCTTGAGCAATAGTTCTCCAGGATTTCTGAAGGTCTTTCTCTTTTTTCTCCATTTTCTTTGAAAGTCATTCATTGACTGCTTTTGGCTCCTTGGACTTCACCATTTTCAGAGGAATTTTTATTTGTTTGGTTGTTTGTTAGGACCCGAAGTCTGAACCACTCAAGCATAAAAAATAACCTAACTAAAGGAATGAAACAGTTTTGCTTCTATATATAAGTTTGCAAAGAATCAGTTTTAAATTGTATCTTTGGTCAATTCACTGCAAAAACAGATAATTTGTTCCTATTTCTTTAGTCAAATCTATAATACAAAATGGCACTGATATCAAGGTTTGACAGGTATAAAATTGTATTTTTTTTTTCATCCTTAAACTTGGGAAGTCCCACTATGGTGTGCAGTGTGTCCCTAAAAAATCTAAAGGAAATTGGAAAAGTGGGGGACAAAATAAGTAGAAGGGCTAAAAATAACTAAATAAAATCTACCTACAGCAGATGAACAATATCTGAACGTCACATCATTGCAAAACAGCAAGATATCTAGTAAAGACCTGACACGGGACCTGAGAGATGCATCTGGCTCTTCAGCTGATTATCTACTGTTCACTGAAGCATCATCAGAAAGGAAAAGTAAGTGGGAGAAAATAATGAGGTATGCTAGATTATACAAGAACTGGACTGAAAATTCCATTTTTGGTTTAAATCATATATGAACAAAGGCGATCAGGAGGGAGGTAAAACAGTGAGTTTCTAAAGCCGCCTAAAAACACAGTGGAGGTCTTTCAAGAAGCCTGGAAACTATTTCTTGAAGATGACTTATTAAAGAAGAGTGTGGCTGAAGGAGTTCAGTCTCTCTCACACAAAAAGTCAAATATTAATGTTGGTGTTCTTTAGAATGGTGAAAACTGTATTTTTGAAGAAAAAAAAAATCAAATCCAGATAGTTTTGAAGCTGTTGAGATAATTACTAGAATTTTGTTCAGCAATTTGTCATATGTCACGATGGCTCCACCATGAATATGAGACTATTAATATGAAATAAAATAATAATAACAGTGAAAATAATGTTTCATCATACAGAGTAACCCAGTGAGGTCTTCATGGCTGGCTGTGTTCTCTTAAATATGGATACTAATGGGTAAATTCAGCAGGTAAACCATCCATGTCAGGTGGTAAAACCAAAGTACAACCAGAAAAAAAAATAAACGTCTATGTTCATGATACCAAATAACAGCTGATACAAGTTTATGAATAAAAAAGATTGCAACGGTTGGGTGCTAATTCAGGTGGTGTAGCTGCAATAAATGTCACTCAGTTAAATAAATAATTGTATTTAAACCTCTCAGACTATGTATTATATTTCTAAAATGCACATTACTTTAATTAAAAAAATGTTCATATAGTAAACTCATATAAATTATTATTATTATGTGCACAAAAATACAAACCTGCCAAGAGATATATTCACTGATAGTCCTCCACTTTCCTAAAGCGTTTATCAAAATTCATATATTTTCCAGATAAGGAAGCAGCTCTCCGTACCCCCAGATCTGCAGTAAAACTGAACACTCTGAGAGATAAGAGAGGTCCAGGTGAAAGCACTTTAAAGATGAGCCCTTGATTAATGATTGTGTCAGTGAAGTCTAAAAATACAAACCATAGAACAGATAACATCATAACTTCTATTGAGTTGCATTCGAGGGTTGGAAAAAAAAATACCGCACACTAAATAAATCAGTGCATCATTTATTTAAGAGTAGCAGTGAAAGACATTAGGCTGTAAATGAAAACTCCAATAAACAAAAAGGCAAACGTTGTATATGTGATTAATTGCTGCAGCCTGTAAACACAAAAACCCTCCACTTGGTTCAACGACATTACTTCACCCTTTACAGCCAGTTAAAACAAACTTGAGTCATTCTTTGCAACAGCTATCCAGTGATTTTTGTTTTAATTAGACCACTTTCAGCTGAGTCACTACATCTTGCATCTGTTAATCACAAACACAAACCTTTACTTCATATTTTCATATTTCTTCCTTCAATATTTCCTTTCTTGGCGTTCCTTATATTCAGAGTTCTTCACTTTGTTCAGATGGCTTTTAAATATTAATAAAAAAAATAATTCTTGATTAACTGTTTACCATCGTCAGTCATACACTCACACCCTCACACATACACGACACGTCAGAAAAAAAGTGTTTCAACTGTTGTCCAGCATCTGAATTTCGGGCTTGTTTCTTGAGAATAACTGCAAATATGAACAAAAAGCTTGGATTTCCATATATAAGTGAAACGCACACATCTTATTTTAAAGTGTATAGTACTAAACCCCCACTTCTAAACTAACACCTCCCAGCTCTGAGCCATGACGCAGCTCATTTATGTCAAATGTCATTTCAAAGCAAACGTCAATGGACTGTCCAGTCTGCTTGCACATGTAGAAAAGAAGTGTGTAATATGGCTTCAGAAATACTGACATCAAAAATCAAACATGTTGTTTGAAAAATGTAGACGAAAACCTTTGGTTTTCAAGATGTGCACATTATAAAAACACATTATTTATACACCATGTTCAGTAACCCCAATGCTGAGAATCACACAGTGCTCATTTTCTTGTCTTGCCAGTTTATCAGACTTAGCAGCAACTCTCACCCCCCAAAACTAGATTCTAGAACAGCTGACATACTTCATAAGAATACACGTTTTTTGGCAGACCTGGAGTTTCTTAAAAAGCACATCAGTAGTTCAGACAAAAACTGTAACGCTCGTGTAAACACACTGCCATCTGCTGGTAGGAGAGGCACAAGCAACCCGTTGTAGCTCCAGTGAAGCTCTCTGCTCCTCTTTTAGTTTTCTACCACTCAGTTTTCCCTTCTTGGTGGGGATTTTTCCTCAATTTTGGCCGCTTGGCAGACTTCACAAACATTGCTTAAGAAGTCCAAACACACAGCAGCTACAACAAGCCAAGAACATCTCTCTTCTGCCTTCTTATTTTGTTCAGTTCTTCTTCCGCTGAGCCATGGACTCAAGCTGGGTTCAGTGAAAGGATCTGTTGACTTTTCTCAGAAGAGTCTGACCTGTTTCTTCAGTTCATTTTGTTTCCACTGAGCAAGACGGTCAAAGGCAGACATGGACATGCTGAAGACTCTATAAAACTCCTCTGGGGAGAGATGACGCTGTTAGCAGGAAGAGACAAAGAAGATTAAAACACAATCTCATTTTTACATTTAATAAACCATAGAGAAAAAACATTAATAATGTGACACAACCAGTTGCACAGAGTTTCTAAAATTCATAAGTAGTGACCTTTACTGATATAGTACCAAATGAAAAGACATACAGTACTGTACAAAAGTATCAAGTCACCCTCATTTCTATAAAGTTTGCTTTTAAGTAGCCTGGCTTTCTCGTAATTTTAAAGTGGTTTGAGCAATAACTATCCAGGCTTTCAGAAGCACTTTCAATTTTTTTCTTAGGACACTGGCAGTTTTTTCTTAGTCCACTCCTTGTACCTGAGCCTGGAATTCAACATTTCTGAAGCAGTGCGGGATCATCTTGACAAACAACTGAACAAAAGGCAGTCAAAATCTTTCAATGTCCTTCAAGAGGCCTAGAAAGTTCAAGCTCTTTGGAACTGTAAAAACTCTGTTTTTGCTTTGTGCACTCTATTTCCATTTACGTTTGCACGTGTTTCAGTAAATCACTGCACCTATTTCCCATTTTGTTAGCAAAATATAAAGAAATGAATGGTGACTCAGGACTTTTGCACAGTGCAGCACACAGGGAACACTGTGCTTTAAATGTTTTTCTCTGCTAATGATCAGTCTGTCCATTCAGCTTTACATTGCAGGTTGTTTGAGGCAACAACATCTGCCACTTAGTGCTTAGAGGAAGGCTCTGTATTCTGCTTTCTTTGCTGCTCTATGACTCGTAAAACATCTGCAGTGCTCATTGCGTCCAACATGAGGGACACTGCAGGGTTTTTTGTTCTTTAGTGTTGAGAGCTTTCATCACAGTCTGAAAGATCAAAAGCAACGCTTGATGTAGACTTTGTGAAAGAGTTGGGTCCTATAACAGGTCACCTCTAGTCTGGCTCGGTCCACATCACTGGGGAGGCGCTGCTGCCCTCTGACTGACACCACAAGGGCTTCATATGGGTAGATCTTATGAAGAAAGAAAACATATTATTAATACCTGTCAAAGGGGTTGTTTTATTATTAATATTCCTGTAAGGTTCCTCATCAAAATGCACCATGGGTGATTTAGCTGAAATAAGTATGAAACGCTAAAAGGACTTAAAAGGACTTTAAATGCTGACTTCTTTCTAAATTCTTTACTGAAAATGATTATTTGAATGAGGATGAAAACAAAAACATCAGTAAAAATTTTGGAAATTCAGTATATATTTTAACATGTTTGCATCAGAAGAATCTGAATCATTTTGCATTTGTTTTACCCTCTAGTGGTCAAATGCAGTTACAATGCCAACAACCCCTAAAACTGTATATGAAGAAAAAAAAGAACATTAAGTTTATTTTTTCAATTTGTGATTTCACCAATGACAATGTTAAGAAATGCTGTTTTTTTCTGGTGTTAATGAAGTTCTCGGTTGATTTTCTTTTTTATCCTAAAATGATGACTTGTAAAGAACAAGTGAGAATTATTTACAATAATTGCGCAGCAGAATCAAGTCTACTGATGTCTGTTGTCAGCATAATTCTGATCTTCCTGAACTATAAATTATAATCATCTAAATACAAACAAAAATAAAGATTGAACGGTTTTACTTTACATGTATTTTTAATTCAGTGCCAAAAAGTACAAAAATAAATAGGAGCTTTTTCAGGATACAGCATGTGACACCAACATGTAACATTGTTACATAAAAACTAAAAAGAAGAAGAAATATATGTTTATTGTGATTATATACAAAATAACTACGCAAACAAGATTTGAGCAACCAAAATTTTCCCTGAAGGTTCTCATCTATAGCAGGTGTTGTGATATCATCATGTTGCCAAGCAACCACCTACCAAGTTAACTGATGCCTTTGTAGTTTATGTGCCTATAACACCTTAAAAGCGTCATATGATTAAAATTTCACGACAATATCATGCAATTTTTTAACCACAAAACTTGAATTATGCATGCTATGTTGAGATACCATGTTGCCTAGCAACTGCCTAAAAAGGAGAAAAACTACAGACCAGACAATACTGGAGAATGGCCATGCACTAGTATATACACAATACATGACTATTATTTATTATTAACTTTCCAATTAGGCAGCTTGATCTTAGAGAGTACTGTCATAGTACTGTCAGCCTGTGTTTACTCATATTCATGGGTACAAATATACTTATCTTGCCATAAAAAGACAAGGCTGGTACTGTTAGCTTTTGTTAACGTCTATTTGTGGGTTTGACTTTGCTGTCAGTAAAATGAGTCTGTCACTGTTACAATTTCTCTGGCTGAAGTGGGTGCTACTGAGTGAGATTAATTCATTATTCAGATTAAAGAAGCAACATCATCATTCTTATCCACTGATACAAACCTGTCACTCTTTGCTCAGCAACAGATTTCTTACTTTCTTACTTCTTACTAGCAACTGGATCTTACCTTATATTCTGAAAAGAAGGAGAAAAAAAGGAATCACTGACAATTGCTGTTCCAACAGTTCTGACTAACATGTGTTAAGGTAGGCAATCGATCAAGAGAAAAACTCAAGTAAGCAGATTGAGCTGAGCAATAGGCTTACCTCTTATCTGCCAATTAACTGCATTAGTGCTGTCATACTGGTAATAATCTCCACCAACACTCCCAGGCTGCCGCAACAGGAAAGTGCATTTTAGGAAAACATGGAATAAAAATACACATTTAATATTTTACAATATTTTAGTGTTTTTTTAGTCTAACAACTTATCACACTAATGTATCGACAGCATCATGCCACTTGTCTCACTTGGCCTTAAGAAGCAACTGATACAAATGGGTTTCAGGTCAGTAGCAAATGAAGGACTTTGCAATGTATTACAGTTTAGCAAATGGCCATGTGTATCTTATTCTCTCTCTGACTCTTGAGAGCAAACTTACATTCATTATCTGTGGACTGCAATCATCAATTATGGGAACTTGGTTTTTGTCTCCAAACACAAGACGAGTCATCACACACACACACTCATCTGGTGTTGCTATCCTCGTGGGGACATCTTATTGACGTAATGCTTTCCCTAGCCGCTTACCCTAACCATCAAAAATAAATGCCTAATCCCAATTGTAACCCTGACACTAAAACCACATTTTGAGTGTGAAAAATGCCTTCAACTCCGTGGGGACCTGGATTTTGGTCCCCACGAAGGCTGTTGGTCCCCACCAGTATAGTAAATTTCAGATTTTGGTCCCCACCAAGATAGTAAGAATCATACACACACAACACACACACACACACACACACACACACACACACACGGACACGACACACACACACACACAGACACACACAACACACACACACACACACACACACACCCCATTATTCCTTACCCTGTTCAGTGCATTTCTGCCGTAGCCTGGCAACGAGGCTGATTTGGCAATGTAGGAGTCTGGCAGAACAAACAAAAACACATAAACAAGCACATGAAGAATGAAAACTGATACCGATCAACTTAAATGTCAGAATGCAAGAGTAACACTGCCTCGTATTGGGTCTTGGTGGGCTTTTGGTTTATTTATTTAATTATTTACGTTTTTGGGGGGGGGGGGGGGGGGGGGTTACTTCACAGCTTCAAAATTTTTAATTTGATTTTGTCAAATACAGCAAGAAATAAACTACAGATACATTTCTGTATCTGATTTTAAGAAAGCTTTTGAGCTGTGGGTAAATGGGGGAAAAACATTTTGCTTTTTTTCTGTCAATGAGCAGAAGCTATATTTTGCTGTTTCATCAAGTTTTCTTTCCACTTTTTTTCTACTGAAGTCTTGCATAAGAAATGTTTTCATGTCTGAAAAGTGATAATCTAATGTTTTTTCTGTCTTATGCTCATTTTTCTATCTAATATCTTTCACCCAACTCTGATCTTGACACCTCTCATCTCAATAGCTCAAACAGCGAGTTACTGACATGTTGCTGGGAGTTTGGAAAAAGGCCTCCGATCAACTTTCTATCGTTTCATATAAGAATTCAAAGCAGAAGTGCCCTTTTTTCATATATTTGAAATCTCAAGGCTACAACACAATGTCTCAAAGACCCAAGCTGTGATCTGAGATGGCTTTTAAGTTGCAGAAAAGAGTTGCATTACTTCCTTTATACCAACATAGCACCTGTCTTGTAATCAGTGATAACCACTGGTGGCAACCAAGTATCTCTGGGCATCCTTGCACTTGTTGTGTGCACTGCTGCAGTGGAAGCAGCAGAGGGCAGTGTAATCCCACTGTTCCTCTCAATTCATTTGGCTTGCCTTTACTTCACTATCACTGTTTCCTGTTCCTGTTCTTCCCCTGTCACTAGATTTTCCCTCCTTTTTCCACTCCTCCCTCTAACTCCTCTGTTCATCCTTCCTCCCTCCTTCTCTCTTTTACTCTGGTGTTGAAAGGAATTAAATTACCCTGTAATGTCAAAGAGCCCTGGCGAAACACCATGATGCAGCAGAATACAGGCTGCTGTGTATTGGCAATGCACAGTGTGTGTAAAATACTGAAGTATAATGAGTTTGTCATCTACTACTTTTTCTCAACAAGAAATGAGATATAGTCAGTGTTCATCTCAGATATGTACTGCTCTGTTGCCAGCATGAAAACTACTAGCATAAGCATCTCATGTATCACAATTTTTGTTTTGTTGTTCCTTCACTATAATAACTGAATCTTTGAATCTTTATAGCTAACGTTTGGTGTGTTTAGTGCACCATCAAAATTACTTGATTGGGCACAAATGCACAGTTTTCAAAAACAAATATGGAAGCCCAGTTCGGACTTTAATGCCTTAAAATTCATTCTAATTTGTGTTGTACAGTTATTTCATTTTTAACCTTAATTTATGTTTTATTCCTTCCTAGTTAAATTTACCCTTTTTAATTTTTCATAGTTATTTCCTATCTTATTCATAGCCTTTTCCTTTTTCTTTTTTTTTTCTCTTTAGGTCACGAGCAGTTGTCTAAGCATTTCACTGCATATCGTACTGTGTATGACTGTGTACATGACAAATAAAATTTGAATTTGAATTTAAAACATAAACAACTATTAAAAGCAGAAGAACAGCATCGGAATTCCCCAAAATCTTTAAAAATATTGTCACATGTAACAACAGCTTATAGAACAGATCACTGTGGATGATGCAGCTTCTGAAAAAAAATAAAATAAAGACAGGCCTTGTTGTCATTCATCTTTCTACCCGTAACTCAAAAGATAGAGGTGTCTGTGCACGTGTCAGTGTGAACTGATAAAAATCTCCTACTTAAAGCTCTGCTGCTGTCACAGCAGAACTAACAGGATGAAGAAGATGAGGGGAAAAGCCGTCTCTCTGTGCCATGGCTCCCATTGGGATGAACAAGCAGATCAAAACACATTGATGAACCACTCACCGCTGTCAGCGCTGCAGAGGGACCTGGGAGCTGAAAGACAGACAAACAAAGGAGTGGGGAGAGGGGCCATATGAAAATATTGTAATTTCACCAGTTTCATACTGTGAAAATTTTGTCTCAAGCCCCAAAAATGCAGTTTTTTAAAAATGATTTAGAATAAGAACTTTAGCTCAGTAAACACTTTAGTGGAGGGACTTGTTTCCCAGAAAAGAGATGCTAGTAAAGAGCAGAATAAAATACTGCTAAAGAAAAACGGCAAGATGGATTTTGAATCCATCTCCGATTCAGTTAAAACACTGAGGAACAAATCGTGCAGTGATCTGTGGAATCTAGTGAGAAAGTTATAGTATGTTATGGGACACAAAGAGAACTTTAGGAGGTCACTGCATCAAATTATCTATCTCCATCTCCCTAGCACAATCTTTTCTTTTCTTCCCGCCTCACATCGTCATTTTCAATCCTTTGTCCAATATATGCACTATTACTCCTCTGCACATGACATCCTACTAAACACACGTAAGAATCCAGGCATTCTGTTGTATATATCTTAAAATACTGAAATTGTTATAGTAATTAGGATATCTACCAAATGAAGAGGACTCCATGTTAATCATAATGCAATGAATTTGAACATTTGACAAAATAAAACCCATGAAAAATACATTATATGCACAGTGTGTGAGAACAAAGGCATAGCTGAAGTTAATATTGGGATATTCATTCTCGTCTTTAAAAAGCATTGGCAATCAGCAGATGTTCTTCATCCTGATCCATTAAACTGACTAAAGCTGCAACAATGCTGCTGTCCTTTGTGGACCATGTTGGTCTTTTCGTTTAGTGTGCGCATAAACATGCATATCAGTTGCTGGGACAACATGAACAGATGTCACACTCTGTTAAGTAGGGTTAATAAATCTACCACATAGTAAAAGTATTAGTTTTCAGTGGCGAGGGTATACATATTTAAAAAAGCCAGTTGTTTTGGGAGATGTCTATAAAACATCAGTTGTGTGAGAACATGTCCCTAAGAAGATCTGCATGCAGGATTAATCACTAGACCTATACATCATTTAAAATATGAAGCACTATGTGCATAGGCATGCAGCACGTTAGATATTTATATGCTTATGGCACATACCCACTGCACTTATTTCGAATAGAGTTTTGCAGTTATTGTTTCTCAAACATAGATAAACAAACAAATAAATAAAGGAAAAAGTTCTTTCCCTTTTTTCCATTTTATTATAATGACTTACTAGCAAAGCTTGCTACTGACTGTTTCTGTCACTATGGTGAAATAATTACAGTGAGATTTGCTTAGTTTCGCATGATAGCGTGCTAGCAATTGCTAATTACAAAGCAAAACTACAGCTGAGGATCTTGTAAAAACATCTTTAAGTCTTTAAACTGAACAAATAATCAAAGATAATAATGATTTATTATAAAAAAATAAATAAATCAAAAGCACCTTGCGCTTTTACGGCTAGTTTTCTACTAATTTAAATGCAGCTGCTTCTCTAGTATTAGTGCTAAACTTAAGACAGCTGCATCACTGCTGAATATTAATTATTGATCCTGTACACACTTAAGTACATTTGAATGATTATGCAATCACTTAACAATCTACAATCAATGACTCTGAATGCTGAATCAGAATAAAACAAAACAACTGCAATGCTCAGTTGTTAAGCTTTGACCTGATGACTTAAGGTCATCTCTGAGAATGATATAAATGTGTTTACCAGCTGTCATCCTCTGGTGAACATGAAATGTGAAATTGTCATGGCCATACCACCATGCTGAGATATATTAGACCGAAGTGATTGACTAACTAACTGATGGACAGATACTGCCATCCTTAGGGTCACGCTGCTAGCGTGGATAAAAATGGTCCGAATCAATTCAGTGAGAGGAAGTCACCAAGCATGTCAGTCAGTTTGTAGCAGTTCATTCCATTTCTGAAAAATGGTGAACATCCCATTTTGGAATTAGCTTCCTCTGAAGAACAGATGAGTGCGCCTGTCATGATTTTCTAATCAGTGTAATAACAGCAAGCACCATAAACCCATAGTGATTACACAGCACTGAGCACCCACATTATTCATACCTCTCTCTCTCCGTGACCTCCCTGTGGACAGAGCTCATTTCCCTCTTTTTCCACCGCTCTCTGACCCTGATTTACTTCTAAGGCTTCATGTCGTACATCTTCTCTCAACAGCTCCAAATTGCTTTAGCTTCTGATTCTCTCTCTCACCCTTATATCTATACACTTTCTATAATGTTCACTCTTTGTTCCGCTTTAACAGGCTTCCTTTTATTCCTGCTGGACCCCCAGCACAACACAACACAACACAACGCACGCTTTCTTTGCCTTTCTCCGAATCTCTCCATCTTTGTCTCGCGTTATCTGCTGAACACAATGAGGAATGGGATCAATTAAAGAGTTAACACAGAAGCGGGAAAACCCCACCTGCTCAGGCTCGGTCAGCAAACAGTACAACACCCAACACTGTTCCAGCTATAAAGGAAACTACATTTATTTCCTAACATCTAACCTTCAGTTACTGCATCCTAATCAGAATTAGCCCAAACCAAAACTAATGTTGTTCTAGCTACTAAAGCCTCAAACCTTTTAAACATTAAATAAATAAATAAAATACTTCAGGGACTGGGAATATATCCATAAGCCATGCAAACTTAACATCATTAACCTTTCACCAGAAGAGAGACAGAAAGGACGTAGCCAGGCTAGCTACTATTTGAAGCTAAAATTCTTTATGAACACCAGCATGCTAACATGGTCACACTGATAATGCTAACATGCAAACGTTTAATATTGTATTACTATATAAATCATATGGGAAACAGAAGATAAAACAATGGAGTCCAGTAAATACTGAGATACTTTAGAGAGATGGTTTATCCCGTAGACAGGGAGATATTTTTCCAATATTTGGAACAAATGAGGGAACAACCAATAGACAGACTTTCGCTACTTAATCAGATAAAAGGGGTGTTTGTAGCATTGCCATAAAAACAGTCTGTTGTGGCTCCTTTTCCTGTCTTTTTAAGTAAGCTTTCTTCTCATTAGCTGTCCCGCAAAAACAAACCGTTTGAACAACGGATGACTTAGGCTGCGCTGCTCACAGTCCTGTGTGCCTGAGATGACCATATAAGGGATATTTGCTCTCAGTGATGTCATATGAAAATACGAGTATAAAAAACTGTGCATTTAGAGCCATCTGAGGCCTGTGTTGACCTCATTATTTCAAACTTTATCCACGTTTAATGTGAGCATTCACCAGTGTAACAGTATTTATATATATGTATATATATATATATATATATACACCATAAAATAAGAAAAAAGCAGAATACATCCACTTGAATATTTCTGCTTTACTCCAGCTAATCAACTTATAGCCATGGCACCACCTCTTAAAATCATCAGACTTAGTTTGTTTTTTCTATAATGAATTACAATATAGACTTTTACTAATATATCTGCAAAAAATCCCACATCAAATTCATCATACTAAAGACAAGATTACGAGCCTAACCTACTGTCATGTGACAATGCATGGTAAATAAAGTTGATCAGCTTACTGTCATATTCAAGATGTAAATAAACACATACACACACACACTTACAGCCATTAAGGGAGCTGTATCCCAGATTGCTCAGCGCCTCCTTGCTGCTACAGCGGGAGCTGTGTCTGCTACCCCACTGGTCATTGTCGTGACAACCTGCTCGTGCCTTCATCTCCTCCTTCAGGATCAATCTGCCAATTCCCTGCATGGAGTGAAGGAAAGTAGAGCAGAGGAGAGGAACAAAGAGAGATGGGAAAACAAGGTGGAACAAAAGGACAGATAGATGGAGTAATAAGAGTTGATTGAGTGGGATGGGTGCATGAGTTGACAGATGGTGATGGAATAATGCAGGATAAAGGATGTGAGGACAGAAGAAGAGAGGAGTACAGGGGCATCACTTTGTATCATGTCAAGTGAGGCTGGAAAGAAGCATTTAATTAACTGGCTCATTAAATATTAACCCTCACTTAAAATATAACAGGAAGAAGCAACAGATGTATTTTTACCCTGTTTATATTATGATTCAGTCCATCCTCCTCTCCTCCAGATGAAAACCTCCTCACCCTGGAGACTAGACAGAGAGATGGAGGAAATGAAAGGTAACAGGGAGCAAGTGAGAAGACTGAAAAAGTGAACATCAAAGTGAAAAAACTGTCACTTGGCTCTCTGGGTTCAGTTTGTGTATAGCAGTAAAACATGCTGTTAAGTAGAAGGTGCTTTACCTTTTGGAGAGCCAGTATATGGGTAGTAGTTGGAGTTCGGGTGATAAATGCTGTTACAGTTTGAGGTGGAAAGGCGATTTGAATTGGTGAGATTGTCATTGGTCCTACTCTTATTGGCTGTTGGAGAGGCTGATATTTCTGACAGGAAGATAATTAGAGAAGCTGTTGAGGGTATTTTTTAAAATTTATTGTTAAAGACACACTTTGAACATTTGATTTGTGACAGAAAATCTTTTTGTCCTAGGATCTTGTGCTGAATTTCATGCTAGAAATAACAACAAAACAACCAGAAGTGAAACATCTATATGGGTAGAAAGCCTTAAAGATGTTCTTGTTTAATGAAAGTGTCTTTCCCCCCTCCTCCTATTGTTGGCTTTAAAATGATTTTCTGACCAACGTGTTTGCTGATGCGTGAGTGCAAGAGAAACAAGACAGATGAAGTAGTGCATATATTTACAGAGAGGGGAGAGAGCACAGTATGTGAGAGGAAAGGAGGAGAAGAGGGGAGACGCATCAAAAACAGGGGAATGGAAAATCGAAAAGAGGTCAGAGACAATGGGAGGGGGTGTGATACAAAACTTCAAGCAGGTGATAATGCTGACTCTGAATAAAAAATATGAACAGAATGAAACACTTTAAGGTATTATACAAGTGTGTAAAGTTTCTGTTAGGGCTGAAATCTCACAAGAAGTAATTAAGAAAAATGCCAGCAAACAGAAAAACACTGTAAAAGCACACAAACCACAATGGAAACAGGAAATCACAAAACACAATGGAGTGTTTTTGGAAGACAGTAATGTGACAGCACAGCTGCACACGTGACAGAAACTAAACCACACGAATACACATGATACACAGAAGTGGAGGAGTCATCTGTGCTGTCAGGGACCAATGATTGTAGAAAAGATGTGAAAAAGACACACGCATGGTGTTTTTTTTTAATCAGATGATTCATATAACACTGTAGATTCATGTTTGCTATTAACTGCTAGTTTGTCACTTCTGCAGCTGGTCCATCACACTGTTGTTTCCCCAAACGGCCCTTGTCTTTTGTGTGCTTTTTGAGCATTTTTCTATTTGCTGGTGTTTTCTTAAGACGCAGTGCATTTGTACCTTCAGGGCCACTGTAAACTAATCATGTGTATACATGAATGGCATTTTTCTTCTTTGAAGGACAAATAAAATCCATCTGTTTGTGCGTATTTGTTATCATTTTTGTATTGTGATGGGTTTTTTTTTTATTTAATTTGAGTATTCATTTAACTTAAGCATTTGATCAAGTGCAATATGGCTCCACCTCACCCCCATTTTTAGTATCATTTTACATCTAAAACTGATGCTACCTTTCAGATGCACCAAAACAGATGCAATGTATTTTTGGCCTGACTTAGATCATTTGATACAGCTGGAGCTGCTAAAACATTTTATTTGTGATTCCTTCTGTGGTATATCTAGATGTGGTAGATGGCGTGAGGAAATAGATGAAATAGTGTTATTGCATAGTGTTATAGGCAGATGTGCAGCCACATCTGCCTATAAAACATTATAGTATCAATGTATCGTATATACACCTGATTATGGTATTTTGCCTTAATATGAAACCTGCTCTATACATGATTAATGGTGTAAATGTAAATCCACATCCACACAGCCCAGTTTGCAGACTGCCCAACAGGAGAGAGAGAGGCTTGTCAGCACTTTGTGGCGCAATGTAAATCATGCAGAGGTCTTTCAGAAGAACTGTAACTCTGTTGGACCTGCCATGTGAGCACAGATAGATCATCTAGACACTATTTGGCACTGCTTCTCTCAGTTCCACCAGTGGAATCTGTAAGCACAGGTTTGATGTGGCTGTATCAAAACTGCGATCAAACTTTACATCCACCTCAAGTCTGCATACCTTTATAGTTGAGCCAAGTAGCCTTAAAGCAACTTTATCAACATGATGTATGGGGAATGCTACTGTCATAATTAGGAATGCACCAATCCATCAGCTCTGACTGTGATTTAGTATGTGCATTTTTCCAAAAGTCTCATGAGGTAGCATTTGGCTAGAATGCTAAAAAACTGAGCAGGCTAGTCAGTGTGACTGGGTGATACAAAATTCAGTCATATTAAGGTCAATCTGGGAACTCACTGAATGGTCTTCTGACTTATGAGATATTTGGTCATACAGAGAAAGGGGCTGGCAGAAATCAACCTACATAGAAGCTACGGAGAGGCATTTGCATTCAGTTCTCCAAACAGTCAACAGCTCATATCTTAAAATTGATGAGGTTATGTTCAACTCCAGTGTCGATTGTTTGAAAAATTGAGCTGCTCGGGAAAGGGAGTGACGCTGGAACTCATCTTGAAGATGAAGAAGCGCAAAAGGAAATATGGAAAAAGCATAGTTTTGCGTTTTATAAAGTTTATGGCTCTCTGAATTTTATATTTTAAGTAAGTTTTTGAGCTTTTAGTCTTGAGTTGTGGTTACTTTCTATAATCTGAGGTCTGTTTATATCTTGAGTTTCTTAAGTTTCCGTCTCCGTCCCCCAGTTGTTAGCAGAGATGGGCGGTAACGCGTTACTTCCATACCATACTCCTTCCATTTCTGAATGATCGCTTGAACAGTGCTCTGTGGGATGTTCAAGGCTTTGGAAATCTTTTTGTAGCCTAAGCCTGCTTTGAATTTCTCCCTGACTTTATCCCTGACATGTCTGGTGTGTTCTTTGGACTTCATGGTGTTGTTGCTCCCAATATTCTCTTAGACAACCTCTGAGGCCGTCACAGAGCAGCTGTATTTGTACTGACATTAGATTACACACAGGTGCACTCTATTTAGTCATTAGCACTGTCTATGGACAACTGACTGCACTCAGACCAAAGGGGGCTGAATAATTACGCACACCCCAATTTGCAGTTATTTATTTGTAAAAAATGTTTGGAATCATGTATGATTTTCGTTCCACTTCTCACGTGTACACCACTTTGTATTGGTCTTTCACGTGGAATTCCAATAAAATTGATTCATGTTTGTGGCTGTAATGTGACAAAATGTGGAAAGGTTCAAGGGGGGCTGAATACTTTTACAAGCCACTGTAGATTATGTTCACCTGTGTCTCATTTCCCTCAGCTGTGTTCACTTCAGCTAATCCCCCCTCTTGTGTATATATAATGGCATCTTTCTGTCAGTCCTTGTACAGTGTCTGTTATTGTGTCTTCTGTGCCTAAATTGTTGGATTCCTGTATAGTCCTTAATATTTATAGTTTGTACTTTTCAACCTATTTAAGTAAAGGTGTGTTTTCAATTTCTGCTGCTGCCTTAAGAGTCTCCATATGAGTCCTCCTCCAACAGATACATGACAGCAAAACTGAGAAGCACAGACAATGGCTGCAGTGGTGGTGTAACAGATTGGCTATTTTTACTGTTTTTAATATTTTTAGTTTCTCCAGCCTCATCTGTTCTTCTGCCTCTGGCATCATATTTAATCTTTACTTTGTATTATTTGTCTCTTGGTCACTTCTTTTTGATATGAAGTGAAGGTTAGTTTCTCATGTCTCTTTTTATGGATAATAATCAAGTAGTCCTAAAATTGACTCCTACTTCCTTTTACCTGATTTTGATGGAAAACATCAAGGAAAGGTGTCCAGAAGAACTTATAAGGAAACAGGAAAAGGAAAGCTTTTTACTCAGAGAATCTGAATGCACATATTTGTAAATGGTGTACCATGTTAAAACTACAATGTCCCATAGCTGGACTAAATTACAAGAAGAAAAAGGCTGAAATTCTATAAAATTAAATGAATCTTATTTTATTATTTTTTCCTGCCTAACCAATGATGCAGTAACTCTTATCCTACCTACTGTTGAAATTTTCTGTGACCAAAGTAAAATTCCCTCCATCAACAACTTAGGCTGGAGCCTTTCCCAGCTAGCCCCGAGTAAAAATGTATATCATATGATGATGATCAATCTAAAGGGGGGCAATACAACCACAGACATGACTAATGTATATCTTAAACACACTTTGATATAGTTCATATAAGTGAAATTAGTGATTGAAATGACTCAAAAAGAATTTGATTTGTTATTATTTGTTATTATGGCTGCCATACAGATACTTCCGGGTCACTTCTATTTGTTAGAAACCTTCCTAAGCAACATTAACTGCACAACCACACCTCTAATTTTATTTCATGGTCTTTTTCTTTGCTGTGACTATCTGCCAAATTATTGCTTTCACCTGTGCCTTGTTCCCACCTGTGCTTCACCTCCAGTCACCCCTCTGT